AGGTTGGACACTCTGAACAGATGAAATAGCTGGCCTAAGTTATGGGAAACCTGGGTCAGAGTCTCATTGTAGTAAACTGGCCATGTGGCCACAGTTTCAGCTCTCTCTTTTAAAAGAAGTGAACAAAGAAGAGAGGATAAATTATATAAGAAAATAGTGATCTCAGTTCCTAGCATGGGTTACAAATTCAATAAAATTCATTGAAAAATATTAAAAGCAACAGATACCATTTCTTCATTCTGAGCAGTGTCTGTAGGTAGCGTGAGTCCAGGGTTCCCTTCAGGAGTGGTCACTTTGAGCTGGATTTTATCTGCCCCCTAGGAAGAGAGAGGCCAGATTGGTATTTGATGGTTTTTGTAATGGCCCTCAAATCTAGTAAATAGTTTTTTTAAAGTCCTGAAAAATGTGACTAAAAGTATGACCAGCCCCATATTCTGTACGACTGAAGTGGTGGAAAAACTGGCTAGCACTGAGTGGAGGTAGGCCCCAAAGTTTCTTGAATTGTGACCAAAATGGGTGAAAACCAGGGCCAAAATGGATGAGGTCTGAAATAAAGCCACGGTCCTTATGTTGAGGTCTGTGCATGGTCCTTGGCTTGCAGGTTCCCCATCTCTGCATTTTCATTATGAGGCACTCATGGCTTCTCTTAGCTTTTTACTATCAGAGGAAGGTAAATAATAATAATAATTTTCTTTCAGAATTAGGTAGGGAAACATTTCGCAGAAAGGAGACAAAGTGAGAGGAGGAAAAAAAGGCATCATGCAGATTTAAAGAAGATGTAGCTTTTCCCATCACCAAATCTTCATTCTGGGCAAAGCTTCATCTGTCTGTTTTAAGGAACAAAATTTGAGCATCAATGAATTAATTGCCTGCACTGCTGTTTTATGTAAACTGCAGTTATTGATTTGATAATGTAGAGCTAAGAAGTAATTATCTAATGAGTTACATTACTTTTTCCAGTATTGAACTGGAGCCAAGTTACTTTTTTACTTGTAATATTCATGGCTGTCATTTTCTATTTTTAGTGGAGGAGGATTTTTCCTGCTGTTACTCATTAGTATTTATGTGTGTGTGTGTGTCTCCATGCATGTACATGTGTGCAACTGGGGTGGTGAAGGAGAAGGAAGGGTCATATGCACCAAGGATGGATGGCTTTATAATGTCTTGCATTTTCCTCAGAATTTCAAAGCTGTAATATATGAAGCAGCCACTTGGGGGGAACCACAGAGCATTTCCCTGTATTTTCTAATAGCCCAATTGCAACAACAATTATACTTGTCAGTACTAAGTAACTTGGCAAATTACTTTTCTGGACGAATAGTAAAAAGTTGAGCATAAGTAACTAGTTCCTTTTAAAATACCAAGCTTTGGAGTTCAGTGCATGCAAAGGAATACTCCCCCATTGGATGGATTAGATACCAACCTAGATCAAGAATTCAAGATCTTGTCTGTAGGGCCAGAGGTTGTAATGCAGTCTGCGGCAAGCTATCCTTCTCCTTACCTTGAGGTGAACATAGTCATATTCATCGGGCAGGCGGATCCCTTCATATTCATTGTGTCCATCATCCCTGACTTGCTCCAGCTGCTCCCCTGCTCCAAGTCCCCCCAGTCGGGGTGGTGGCGGAGGTAGCGGGCGGTCCTGGATACTACCCTTCCTCACGATGCTTGGAGATGGTGGAGGGGGCTCCACCGATAGTCGTTCTTCGCTGGGAAGGGCAGGCAATGGACGTCGGGACAAACTTTCTGCTGAGGGTAGGCGAGGACGGGACGGAGGCCCGGACTCCCTCAGGCTCAGTCCTTGGAGTGCCCCTTCAAGGGGTGGAGAGCTTGATACCAGGAGAGGAACATCATAGATACCCCCATCCTCTTCCTCCTCCTCTTCCTCCTCTTCCTTTTCTTCCCTACTTCCCCCTAGTACTTCCTCAGGTGACTCATACAGATTTAGCAAGGCTGATGCCCGGCGTAAGTTGGATGGAGTGGCATAAACCAGAGGACCCTCCGAGTCTTCGTCATCCACCTCCTCTTCCACCCCTGGACTTGACAGTTTTTTGAAGGCAAGAGGAACGTCATAAGGGTCATCAGAAGGCAGAGGGGCCATGGGCTGTGGGGCCACACGTGCCACTTTCTTTGGGCATGGAGAAGGCGAGTCGTAAGTGTCAGACGGAGAGTCCCTGAGCATGGACGAAGGGACGTCATAAACCTGCCAGTGGAGGAATGAGCACAGAGAGGAGTGGAAATAATAATAATAATAATAATAATAATAATAATAATAATAATAGGCAATTTGGAAGGAAGTACCAAATTATACAGTGGTCCCTCCTCATTCACTGGGGTTAGGGTTGAAAAACCCCTGTGAATGTGGGAAAACTGCAAATAAAAAAACCCACTATTCTTTTTACCTAAGAGAACACCTCTCTAGGAATTTCCAGGTCCTCCAGTGCAACTCTATGGTCAACATCTGCCAGAAGTTGATAATAGAATCATGTTGGATGACCTACAAATGCCTAGACAAGTATTTTCTCTAGGAACATCTAGGTTCTCCAGCACAACTCAATGGTCAACTTCTGGCAGAATTGCGCTGGAGGATCTAGAAATTCCTAGAGATAAGATACTAATCAAAACTGCAAATAATCAAATCCGCAAAAGTCAAAACCCCAAATGTGGAGGGCTAACTGTACATTCAAATATAACGTATAGACACCTATTACAAATATTCACCATATCACAGGTGTGGACTGGGAAAAGTCATATTTTAGTGCTTTTCTGCATGAGCATCTCTTTTCATATAGAAAATCAGGATGGAGGGAAGTAGGTGCTAGTCTAAACAGTGGCAACTGGTGTGGATCCCATATCAGTGGGGCAGTGAATCTACTCGGGTTAAGTTGGATTTTTCAAGGGGATAAAGGAACCTATTTGGGGGGGATAAAGATTCAGCCTGTTGGATAACTGGTTTCTTTTAAAACTAGGAGCAGACTAGTGGTATCCCTAGGGGGGGTGCGGACCGCACCAGGTGACACCACTGCTCCTCAAGCATCTGTATTTGGGCAGAAGCATTATGGCATTTGTCTGTATCACTTAAAATGTTTTAAGAGATTGTGGGAGTGAGGTGAAACTCAGTAGCAGAAGAAAGGAGGCCCCCCCAGAATTTTTTAAAATTAAAATTTCAAATTTCAACATTTTTAATTTACATTTTTTTTAAAAAAATATTTTAAAGTTTTCTTTAAAAACATTACATTTTAACTAAAGATTCACCATCTATATGTAAATTCATTTAAGTTATGCGTATGATATTGTAATTTTAAGGTATAATTTTAATCTGCTAGGTGTTTTATGTCACAGCTATTAGCATTACATTCAGTGGTATATGGGAATTATGACCGATGAGTAACATTAGTGCAAAAAACATGACTCGGGAGTCTGTATGGTGTGAAATGGGGAGGAGGAGGAGGAGGAGGCCAATGGTGGCGGGTGACACCATGAGTTACCGCACCGGGTGACACCAACCCTAGGGATTGGTTTCAGAGGGGCGGAATATAAATAATTTATTATTATTATTATTATTATTATTATTATTATTATTATTATTATTATTATTATTAGGGATGCCACTGGAGCAGATTCACCCATCCCACTGACATGGAAGCCACTAATTCTAGGCTACATTTTCTCCTTGACATGCACATTTTCATACTGCAGGGATACTAAATATAGAAAGAAACCTTGAAACATGTAATGGCCTATCTTCTGGCTGAAAATGTATGCTACCAGAATTCCCTGCCATCTGATCTTCATAGCAAGAATAACTGGAAATTAATAAAGAATGCCAAAAGAAGTTGTTTTATCACCGTGATAAAACACAGATTTAGGAGAGGCTTCGTGGACTATTGAAACCTATTCCTTGTGATGATCTGCTTACCTTTTCATCCAAACATCATCTACCATTTTTTAAAAAGCCCACTCTGCTCCCAGGGAGTTTACAGTCTAAAATAAATCATAGGTGAAAACAACAGTAGTGGGAGTCAAAGACATAGATATGGAGGGATCACACTTACTTGCATTATATATCTTTCATACTATCTTTTTATAATAAATAATAATAATAAATAATAATAATATTTATTTATATCCCACCCCTCTGCAGAGCAATCGGGGCGGCTTATATTGTACTACAGTCGTCCCTCCCAATTTGCCTGGGATCCATTCTGGAACACCCCCCCACGAATCGGGAAAAATTCTGTTGAATAAAATGGAGGCACGGGAATTCAGAGAATCAGTAGGGATGACTGTATCTATCTTTCATACTTTGTCTAGTAAAAGGCTTGGAGATTTTACTATATTAACTGGTACATAAATGCCACCAATCAATCAGTCCTGTCTAAAATGACCCAGCTGAACATCTGCTAAAAGGTATCTTTCAGGAAAGCCATAGAAAAAGATTTCCACCACCACCACCACCACCACCCCGTATTTTTTATCAAGGGGGAAAATGTAAATTTTTTAAAAATGGAAAAATGTTACATCAGTCCCATTTACATTGTTAAGATTGTTGTTGATGATGCTGTGTGACTTTGAGTTGCTTCTAACTTATGGGGACCCTGTCATAGGGGTTTCTTAGCAAGATTTGTTCAGAGAGGGTTTGTCTTCCTCTGAAGCTGAGAGAATGTGACTTGCCCACCCAATGGGTTTCCATAACCGAGCGAGGCTCAAGGTTTGTTCAGAAGAGGTTTGCCATTGCCTTCCTCTGAGGCTGAGAGCGTATGACTTGCCCAAGGCCACCCAGTGGGCTTCATGGCCAACCTGGGAATCGAACCCTCAATTCTAGAGTCATAGTCCAGAATCATAGTCCAGCATGATGTAGTGGTTTTTGTGTTGGACTATGACTCTGGAGTTGAGGGTTCGATTCCCAGGTTGGCCATGAAACCCACTGGGTGGCCTTGGGCAGGTCACATGCTCTCAGCCTCAGAGGAAGGCAATGGCAAACTCTGATTTCCAGAGTCATAGTCTAGCATGGTGTAGTGGTTTTTGCGTTGGACTATGACTCTGGAGTTGTGGGTTCGATTCCCAGGTTGGCCATGAAACCCACGGCCATAAAACTCACTGGGTGGCCTTGGGTAAGTCACACGCCCAAATTGAATTTATGTATATATGTATGTATGTATGTATGTATGTTACAAATGGCATTACAAGCTCCTGAACAGGAGAATCCAGCAACATTAGTAAAACAGAGAAAATTATTTTGTCTCTTTTATAACGTCATCAAATATAAAGCTCTCACTCCCATAAAAAAGAACCGAGAAAAGGCAACCAAGACCAAGAACTGCAGTGATATGAAGTATACTCTACATAGGTCCAAAACACACTGCAGAAATAATCCAGTTTGAGACTACTTTAACTGCCCCAGCTCAATGCCAGAGAATTCTGGAAACTGTAGTTTTGTCAGAGAGCTCTGGTGCCACAATAAACTACACTTCCCAGGATTCCCTAGCATTGAGCCAGGGCAGTTAAAGCAATCTCAAACTGGATTATTTCTGCAATGTGTTTTGGCCCATAGTCTTCCATAAGGGTCTTCTTATTGCTGCTTTTAGAAATAATGCCAGAAGAGCAAATATAAGAACACCTCACCTTAAATATGTTATTTTTCATTCTGAAGGAGAATATTTCACAAACCATGTCCCCCAGAAAAATAGGTTTGGGAAGAAAAGGGGGGAAAAAGTTTTGTTCCCCCCTTTTTTTCTTTTCATTTCTCCCCCTGGGCCTTCACATCTCTAGTCAGGACACCCATTTCATCATCCAAGATGCTGAATGTACAAGCAAACACATCAAATGTCCTTGGATGCCTTTTGACAGGCAGGGCAAGCCTCCATCCATCTAGAAAACACCATAAAACAGGATGACTTCTGAGTAGCTCTTTGCCATTATCACAGTTTGCCTTTGCCTCATTCATGCTTATCTCAGGAATAAGTCTGAGTGAGTTTTGCTCAACCAGGTTAGAATTACAACAGACTGAGCCTTATCAAGGGGGGGAAAATGCTGGTTTGCTCTTTTTAAAAATGCAGCTGCGTCTTTTCTATTTATTTGGCTTTAAAGCTCCTTTAAGAAAAAAACAAATACTCAACTTTGGACCTGGGAGGTAATTGAGGTTGTGCCTACACTGCAGAATTAATGCAGTTTGACACTGCTTTAACTGCCATGGCTCCATGCTATGGAATTCTGGGATTTGTGGTTTTGTTAGATATTCAGTCTTCTCCATCAGAGAGCTCTGGTGCGACAACAAACCACAAATCCCAGGATTCCATAGGATGGTGCTATGGCAGTTAAAACGGTGTCTAGCTGCATTAATTCTGCTGTGTGGAAGCTGCTTGAGTTCTTTCCATCTTATTGAATGAGCTTACATACTGTCTGCAATAAAGATTATGCCAGAGAAATAAAGGCATGCTCCAGAACCAGTACAAGTTCTCCTTGAATAAATAAAGCCTGAAAATCTTCCATGCATTCAGATTTAGGAAAGCTAGTCTGTTGAAGAAGAAAACACTAGCTTTAAAGAGGAAATGCCTTCCAGCCTCTTTTACCTTGCAAGGAAGATGTAAGTGTGCTCCTAACTTGTCCCTTTGGAAATGTTACTTCCAAAAGGCCATTCTGGCTGAGAGTTCTAAGAGCTGTAGTCCAAAAAAAGTAACTTTTCCAAACTCTGATTCTATTATATCCCCTTTCCATCTGTTCTTTTTCTGTAATATTCTTAGCTCCTGGTGTTTGTGGACCCGAAAAGAAATGCTGCAGACAGTCTAACAGTACCATGCGATACATGATAATTCAGAAGTAAATCTTCCTCCATTTAATTTGGCTTAATTACTCCCTACTGTAACAGCTTTGCCACCTAAAACTTATTCTTCTTGGTTCAGTTACTGTCTCTGATTTTAAATAACTCTGATCCCCCCCCCAAGTGCTATGAAAACCAAGAAAACAAATGTTCAGAGGGAAGAGAAATGAGTTTGGAAAAGTTCCTTTTTTAAGGTTTGCATATTAGATATGCTTGGTTGGGGGATTCTAGGAGTTGTAATTTAAAAAAAAAGTAATTTTATCAAGGCAAAGATGGCCTCTAAGTGCAAAGAGGTCCACAAAACACATATATTGGGTTCATGATATCCACTGGGGGTTGGTTCAAGAACACACACGCACACACATCCGTGGATACCAAAATCCGTGGATGCTGAAGTCCCATTAAATACAATGGCATAGTAAAATGGCGTCCCATATATAAAATGGAAAAAGCATGATTTGCTTTTTGGAATATATATATATTTGTAAAATATTTTCAAACTATGGATGCTTGAATCCGTGGATAAAAAACCTGTAGGTATAGAGGGGCTGACTCTACGTAACCAGTTCTCTTTAGCTTAACAAGATGAGATGCCTCCAATCCCAGAGTGTAACCCTGAAATTTTACATTCTGTGCCAGCTGCCACTTCCTTGCCCTTCATCTGCCACTCCCCACTGAGTTTTTATCCATTTAGGGCAACCTCTTCCTGGGCCATGAAAGCAAGAGAAGCCGAAAAGGACCCCAATTTGGTACAGGAGCAAGCTGTCTCCACATTTGTCCTGAGATACAGTTACACAGTCGGAGACCAGGAGGAACACAGCTGTCATTTGCAACAAATGGAGCCAGCTGTCTGCAAAGGCGATTCTCCGATTCTCCGCAGGAGAAAGGCGAGCCCACCAGCAAACAGCGTGAGCCGAGGCACATCCAAATGGCACACTTATCAAATGCACCCCTCACAGCCAGCTTGGAGGAGAGAGAGCCATCATGTCAAAAAACAGCAACAAGAATCTCAGAGATAACAGAGATAACTTATTAACTGGCCAGATTTTGCAAGAATGCACTGTTGGCTGATCGACATAAAGAAGTGAGGCAACAATGCACGGACTCTCCCACCCAACATTACTATAATGTCATCCAAGAACAATGAGAGAAAAGTTTGTTGCCCCCAAGGAGTCTGCAATCTGAAATAGGCTTTCCCAAACTGGTGGCCTCCAAACCAGCTGGACTACAGTTCCCATTCTCTTGGGTCAGCTTGGGCAATGGCTGTGCAAGCCAGGAGTGATGGTGGCCAGAGTCTGGCTGGCCTAGAAGAGCACCAGGGTGGGCAAAGAGGAGCTTTAAAAACCCAAACAATCCTTATTCAACTATGAAGCTCCCCCACTGATCTTGGGTAAGTTGCCCTCTCTCTGCTTAGAGCTGGAAGGGATCTGAGTGGTCATTTAGACCATTTCCTTCCCTGTGCAGGAATCCACCCACAGCTAAAACACCCCTTACAGGTGGGCATCTCTGTTTAAAAACCTCCAACTACGTTGGATTTCAGTCTATAGACTACAAGTAGTTGTGCACTCAAAGCCAGGTCAGGGTCTAAATCCGAAAATAAAATGGAGAGGGGGGTATTACATGCATGATAGACTGAATATGCAGTTGGAGTCCATAATAAGACAGTAACTGCCATCTTATAAGTCAAGTTTGGAACATAGAGAGTTTTTCCCCCATCAGTTCATAGAATCCCCCAGCCAGCATGTTGGGAGTTTTTAGGACACCAAAAGAAACTTTCCCAACATTTGATGGTGTTTTCACCACATTCCTTGCAAAAGCAGACACTCACTTCAGCAGAGTCCCCATCTCTTCTGGTACCCCGAGGCACTCTGTATATACTCTCTGGGGGCAATGGACAGGGCCGAGCGGGTGGTGGCACCTCATATACCTGTGGGAAGAAACAGAAACCAAAGACTAGGGTGATGCAGTTCCTAAAAGATGCATCCTTTTCCTAGGGTTTCCTGCCGGGTTTGAGCAGCCTAACTTTCCATTGCAAACCTTGGTCCAGAACACACAGCAAAAACAATCCAGTTTGCAACCGCTTTAACTGCCCTGACTCAATGCTATGGAATTCTGGGATCTGTAGTTTTGTGAGATATTAAGCCTTCTCTGAGAGAGCTCTGGTGCCACAATAAACTACAATTCCCAGGATTCCCTAGCACTGAGCCAGGGCAGTTAAAGCCATCTCAAACTGGATTATTTCTGCAATGTGTTTTGGCACATAGTCTTCCATAAGAGTCTTCTTATTGCTGCTTTTAGAAATAATGCCAGAAGAACAAATATAAGAACACCTCACCTTTAATATTTTATTTTTCATTCTGAAGGAGAATTCCCAGAATCCCCTAACCCTGAGCCAGGGCAGTTAAAGCAGTCTCAAACTGGATTATTTCTGCAGTGTGTCTTGGACCCTTCTCTGTGGCTCCTACACCTGTGGTTTCCCCCCTATGCTAATATAATAACACCCGTTTAATACAGGATTCTGGCCACACTGAGCTGCTTTGGTAAAAGTGTATGATTTAGAAGTGGTATTAGACCCAGAGCAATACATTAGTTGAAGCTGCTTTTGTAAAAGTTTCAAGCAATGGGGAGTTGTTTCAGAATACTTTCCAGGGGGGTCTGGCACCAAATCCCAGTGGATACCAAGGATCTACTGTATGTTACAAGGGGAGGCTTGGTTGATGTCATTAAGCATCAGGCTTACACTGTACAGAATATAAAATCCAGGTATCAGGCTCAAGCTATGCAGCGTATAAAATCCATATTAAGTCGAACAGAGGAAGATACACACATGCATGCCATTCAAAGCAGTTGTCTTGCCCTGAGATTCATCCCTGTCCCCCAAAGGGCTGGAGAAAATGGGTCAAGCCCTGACATTCACAGTAATGAGACTTGTTCCTGGGCTCCTCCAAGCACAATAATTCTTCTCCAGTGAAAGGTACAGGGCCTTGCTTCAAAGGGAAAAGGATTTGAATCCTCTTTTATTCAGGTTTTGGTGGGAAAATGCAGATAAATCCATTGAAATAAGTCCAGGGGAGGGGGCACTAGACAGACAAGGAAAGCTGTCATTCATAAAACATTTGAAACAAGGCTCCAGCCACTCAGTGATGGAGACTGACAGGCACTTTTCACTTTTTCTTTCTTTCTTTCTGGATGGGATTGATATCTCATTTTTCTCCCAAAATGGGCTTCAGAAAATGTTCAGAAGCACTGATGTTTT